GTGATGTCGCGTAGTGTTTCCTGCTTTGCTCTGACAGTTGCAGTGAAGGTGTCTTTTGTGGTTGTGTCCTTCAGTAATTGAGTGTTGAACTTGCATTGTGGCCTATCCCCAGCTATCCTCGAGGCTTTTAGTTTCACCTTGAAAGTCCCTTGTACTAGATAGTGGTCTGAACCCACATCTGCTCCTCTCCTCGACCTTGTGTCCAGTAGGCTCCGTCTCCACTTTCTTGAAATTGAGATGAAGTCTATTTGGTTTTTGGTGTTTCCATCTGGTGAAATCCATGTCGTCTTGTGTATATCCTTGTGTTTGAACACACTACCGCCAATCACCAAATCATTGAAGGCGCAGAAGTCTGAGAAGAGTTCACCATTGTCGTTCATTTCACCGAGGGCCTCACGACCCATGGTGAGTTCTCTTCCTGTGTTGTCTCCTCCCAGCTTCGCATTCATGTCGCCCATCAGGATTTTGATATCGCCATTTGGGACGTTGTCCATTATTGCTTGTAGTTGTCTGTAGAACGCCTCCTTCTTCTCTTGTTCTGAGACGTTTGTAGGCGCATAGCATTGAATGACTGTAACTTTCCTTCCTTTTGAGTTGAACCTGGCTGTCATTATCCTGGAGGAGATTGGTTCCCACTGCATGAGAGCTTTGGCTGCTGTTGGTGACATCATGATGGCCACTCCCTCGGTGTGCTCGTGGTTGTCCTCTGTGTGGCCGGAATAGATTATTGTCTCTCCAGTAGGTAGTTGGCACCTTCCAGTTCCGTTCCATCTGCTTTCGCAGATTCCCAACACTTCTATTCTGTACCTTCTCATTTCAGCGGCTATCTGGGCAGCCTTTCCAGTTTCGTACATTGTACGAACATTCCAGGTACCCATCCTTACTTTTGCTTTCATCGAAAGAAGGCACATCGGCTGACTGGCTTCCCGAAGGCTTTCACCAGCCTGCGTCATTTCACTTCCCCGATTCCAGCGAAAAGTAAGGCTATTGTTTATGTTTTTAGAATTTTTAATATATTTATTCGTTGAAGTTTCTGTAGCGATTTGGTTGTTTTACAGGGGTGGAGTTGCTAGCACCACGCCCCAACCCTCCCTCTTTACCCGGGCTTGGGACTGGCTAGAAAACTAGTAAGCTAGTAGCCTAGCAAGCTAGTATCTGGCGAGGTTCGCGCGGACTGTAATAATTCAATATTTTCTCATGTATTAATTTTAACAGGAAAATATTTTACGCTTGGCTATCACATGTAAAATGTGAACGTGAAAAAGAAAATATGTTTGCACAAAAACATTATAATGCCTGTCTCATGAGAAGAACACTAAATGGATTTAAAAAGGTTAGTTTTACCGAGTGAAAATAATTTTCTGAAGTTGTCAGTATAGCAATAACCAGAAACTCACCAAGTGAAAATTAAATCTACAGAAGGTTTTATACATATAATGTTGAGGTTTTTATTACTTTACGTTCCGGATGGAACGAAGGGCTTCATTCAGGCTACAGTTTTGAAGTTTCTGTAGCAGGGAATTTATTTATACGCGGTGGGGTTGCTAGCCTCACTCCCGACCTTTCTGTCTTTACCGGATCTACTACTGGTTAGGTGACGGTTATGAGTGCGTCGGCCGAAGATCGAAACCCGGACCTTATGCGTGGTTGACAAGAATCCTACTCCTGATCCACCGATGCATATATATAATGTTGATAATTGGTCTTAATTAATTAAGAATTGATATAAAGCCTTTTATTTGGGATGTTTTGTATTTCCGAATCGAATAACTTTCCGTTCGTGCAAACTTAAAGCGACTAAGTTTTATATTTGTTTCCATCTTAAGTCATAGGTGAAAGTAAATGCATTAATAGTGTATGTTTCGGCGTATATTCTAATTGTTAAGGGAAGTCCTAAAGAGCACAAAATGTAACATTTGTTTTAATCAGTTTGTTTCAAATCACCAAAGTTCTGGAGTTCAGACTAATTCCACGACAGATGCTAAAGTTTGTTGACTAATTATATTTGAGTTATCAGAAGAAATCGAATGTTTTCAGAAATGAACTTTGCAGTTCCTCTCAAGAATTAAACTCACAAGTCGAAAGTTAGTAGCATATTTTACTCAAAAATGTGACATTTTCTTCAATAAGAGAGTATAAAAATTATCCGTTTTATAAGCTTATTATCTGTGTGCAGCCAATGCGGTAGGCACGTAGGGAATTTAAACTGCACTAGGGAAAACAGAGATTTGGAGTTTCTGTTGTAACAAACCAACTAAGAACCTATTGCCCAACAAATATGCAGAAGGATACGGGGATGAATTTGACGTACACTGAGGAGACCATTGAGTGGCATCACGCGCTGGACAGACCCTCGACTGGAACACAGAAGAGAAACAACGAGTTAGGTATTCTAGGGTGACATGGAGGAGGTCACGTGAGGATGAGACGAGTGGTTATGTGCAGTGGTGAAGCTGGCTTAAGGGGACTAAATAGAACAGAGTGAGATGGAGGTGTACTGCTGAAGCCCTATATTCCACTAGGAACCCAAAGGTATTTCTTGATATTATTAGTTTTTACAATACATATGAAATAATTTCACTAAAATCTTAGCCGTTCAGTAACCAATGAATTAACAGACTGACTGAGTTTCAACTGGGTTTCACAAAGTAGATCTTTTCGGGGAATACTACTTACACTTGTGATGAATACTACAAAAGTAACTAGACTAAAAAAATTATGCCTCAGAAATGTTTGAATTCCTTTCTTATATTAGAAAATGTTATTCATCTTTGATCCCATCAAACATAAAGTTATTATGATTGTCATGTAGAGAAATTCGGTCTGAGTAATGACTCTGGAAGAATTTATCAGTAGAGTTTCATCACCTGGAAACTACTTCGCTACTATGGGGAGCCGCCGATAATTATACACCTCATCTAGCAGTTGTACGACAATGCTGCATGCCAAGTAATCCACAACGGGAAACTTACGGAAGCCTTCGAGGTGAATTCGGGATTAAGACAAGGCTGTCTACTATCTCCAATGATTCTCCTGATTGAGGTCGACTGGATAATGCTACAGACGGTGGCGGGCAACGAGGAGACAGGCACAAAATGGACCCATACAAAAGACTTTGAGGATCTGGATTTCATCAATGATATATGTCTGACTTCCCACAAACTGGAAGATATGCAAGTGAAAAGCAACAAGTTGACAGAAGAAGCATCCGGAGAAGGTAGGACTTCAGGTGAACATAGAGAAAACAGAGGTGATGAAGATTCCTGGCCAACCTCGACAGCAACGACAATAGACAACAATCAGCGTAAATGGGAGAAATCTGAAAGAAGCAACCTCTTTTACCTACCCACCTACTGGAAAGCATCGTTTCAACTACAGATGAACGGAACTGATGCGGATATCAAAGCGAAAATTATCGGGAAAGCAAGGCAAGCTTTCATCACTCTCAAGTCTGTGTGGAGATCAACAGCATTCAGCATGGAAAACAAGATGTGGATTTTTAACTCCAACGTGAAGTCAGTGCTACTTTATGGATTAGAGACTTGGCACGGCATGAAGAGTATCTCAAACAAACTACAGACCTTCATCAACGGCTGTCTTCGCTCACTAGTTACGATGGGATGGCCAAAAAAATCAGCTGAAGGGATCTCTGGCAATGAACGAACCAAACCAACAGGAATCATTTGTGCAACAAATGTGCAGGAAGAAATGGAGTTGGCTTGGATTGGCCATACTCTGATAAAACAAGCCATTAAGTGACATCACACGACAGGCCATCGCTCTAGTGGAACCCGAAGGGGAAACAGGGAGTTGGTCGTCAGTGCGAGGTTGACACGGAGAGGGGGTCGTGAGAAGATGAGATGAAAGTATGACCATATTATTGCACAGGTTAATATTTGGTTAAGATAGTTTCCTATCTTTACAGAATCAATCAATAAGTTCATAGTAATCATAAATGGAACAATCGAAGCTCCCCTAAACGTTTCGACTGACTGACTGACTGAGTTTCAGTGTAGAACTTTACACAGAAGTGCAGCAGTACAAGTTGCCACTAGCTATGCAGGAGACAGAGGTAGACAAAGAAGAGAAAAAAGTGTGTAGGAGAAAGAATGCAGTCGCGCCATTGAGTACAATTCTGGCTGATATCACCAATAGTCTCCAGTCATATCTTAGCATTCTGAGGGCTCGAAGCGGGAAGACTACACCTCCCTACAAGGCTCAAACCAACTGTCAAAGACTGCATAGATTGATGTCACCTTTTCATTTGACCATCCTTAACTCTTTCCCAACCTAATTCTTTCTCAATTAACACTACCTGTCGAAGAAGTCGACGACTCAACATGCACAACACGTATCTTAGACATTTCAATCAGTGTAGCTTCAAAACTTCATTGATTGATTGACTCTCCTTAGCTAACACTCTACACATAAACGTAATGTTGTTCACCCTATGATAACTCTTAAAACTGGGATAGTACTCAGACGTGTGTAGTCAAAGACACCTAGCCTTTTCATATTTTCCACCATCAACGACATTGTTTCACAAGCTATGAAGGAGGATAAAGCTAACTGCTATACATTACGCACGTCCTTTGATTGACAGCCGGATACTACGTCTACGTGAGAGGTAACAAAAGTTAGCGGATGCCACACAAGCCTTTTGTATCTGTAGTGAGAATTCGTAAGTGGTCAGTTCATTAAGGCCTATACCTTAATCATTTTAAATGACCGTCAAAAATTTTTCAAGATACTTCTGGAACGTCGAGAATCGGTAGTAGAGTTGTGATACAACTACTACACGTAAATGATGAATATTCAAATCTAATGGCTAGCGGGATATAATAGGGGATATCTGTACCTCAGGTAGGTGGTTTTTATACGGTAATTATCTATGAGCTGTATGAGTGAATTATGAAACTCCCGTCGTCCTTCTAGAAAACATCTTCATCTCAAACTTCAATATAAAGTGAGCTATGCACAATAATTATAAGGATTCTTACCTGATCAATAGACCTTCTTATCTTGTGTATCATTTTATTCTGTAGACCAGTCATGTAGACAGCTTTTACTCTCAATGATGCCATTGCATTCGGTTGATTTGCTATGACATATTCAATTTCAGATGTCTAAATGTTAAAATAAATTATTCTGAATGCTAATTGTTATATTATGTGTAGACTTTATTAATAAGATCTCATACATTTGACTTTAATAGTCAGTACTGACAGATACCTCTAGAATTAGATTACAGACTTCTTAACATTCATTTAGCAAACATATCAATGCCACTCAGTGTGAACTCTATGACAATTATCACGGAAGTATTCACAGCGTATCAAGGTATAGAAACCTTAATGTTAAATAGGTAATACCAATGAAACTCTCATGAAATTAGACAAGGCCGCCAACTTTCACCAATGATCTTAACTGTGGTGGACTAAATCTTGTGGCATACCATGGGAATTGAGGAGGCTGGCACTCATCTAACTAATAAAAAGACCCAATAAAATCTAAATCTGGCAGATAATTTATCTCTCTCACAAAGTCGAAGATTCATAAGCGAGAACCAACAAGTTAGCAGAAGAGGTAGAGGAGACACGACATCGGGTAAACGTAAAGGGGAAAGCGGTGATGAAAGTATCCGGTCAAAAACAAAAACTAGCGTCAATCGCAATCGACGGTGGAAAACTAAATGAATTTGTTTCTTTTGCTTACCCATTTGAAAAGTTTCATTTCAGTCACTGGCAGGCACCTTGGAGGAAGATGTCAGAGCTAGCCACTGTTTGGTTTGGGATAGCAAGACAGGTGTTTATTACTCTGAAATCAATGTGGAGGTTTACAGCAGTCAGCAATCAGAACAACATTCGAGTTTCCATAAGTGATTTCAAATCAGTGATTCTATATGGTTCAAAGACATGTGGCATGACTTAGCAAAAGCATTTCAAATAGTTGGCTGTAGACTTTCATTAACATCTTGTATTTTACCTCTATGCCAACCACGCAGGTGGTTTCGGGGTTCGATTCCCGGCCAATGCACTCCTTTACCTCGCTAAGCCAGTAATGAGACTGGTAAAGAGGGAAGGTTGGGCATAAGGCTAGCAATCCCATCCCGTAAAAATAAATACCACTTCTACCGAAACTGCAAGTTTTTAGCTTGAAGTCCTATTCACTAAGAAGAAATAAAAAAAAATTTTAGCTCGATACTGAAGGTCAGGTGGCCTACTGGAAAGGATAAACAACAAGGAAGTCTAGCAGGGCAGCTGATCACCCCTGAACTTACAGATCGATAAAAATTCAGAAGGGAATAGAGATGGATTGGTCATACGCTGAGGAGACATTCAAGTGACATTACACGTCAGGCTATGGAGTGGAACTCCAGTAGGAATCGACTGGTTGGACATTGGAGAGTGACTATGAAAATATGATGTAACAAGAGTTTGTGCTTAGTCATCCAGAAAGTTGAAATGTTGGCAGTGGAAAAAAGGCAGTGGAGATGGGCTTCTTTTTTATTTTTTTTAAATAAAAAAAATAAAAAAAATAGTAACTTTCAAAAACAGCAATCTATTAATCAAGTAGCGCCTTGTTTAAATTAATATTAAGTAATCGGTACGAAATTTATCTCATAGTTATAATTCTCAAAAGAAATTTACAATAATTGGATGCCTGTCAAGTATATTCACTGGTGGATTCTTCAGTTTTATGTCAGACACATCACAAGCAAGACATGCCTATTTTATAAAATCTAGAGAACAGCCACTCTATGATGGATTAAAGTAACTATGATATAAATCTGTTCACATATATTACTATATTAATTTTATAAACAGTTAATGAGGTATCTTACTAAATTTTCAATAAAATGTTTCTTCATTAGTTTTAAACGATTATTTGTTGATCTAGTAGGGAGAAATTAAATGAAGGTTATTCATATTGTGCTACAAAATCACTTGACAGCATCACTTATTAGTTGTTCATTTTTTTCACTTTGTTTTATTTTCAATTGTTTTCTAAGTATTTCTTTTCTTTAAATAATAATAATAATCCAAATAATATATATATTGCGCATATTTTACGTTAAATTGTTCACTACCTTTGTTGACGATATCTTTCATGAACACGTTGTTGTGCTTTCAACTGGGCATTATGAACAGTGTTCACATTAACATTTTCATCCATTTCACCTCTAATTTTTATCTTGTATTTCTTTCTCTATGTTAAATTTTGTTGTAAATGAAAATACTAATCATTAGTAGTATAAATAAGTATCCTGAATAAAAATGTTATGGTAAAATTTGAAAGAAGAGGGTTTTTTAAGAAGTACCATTCTAAATACTCTTCATGTTATGTTTTTTAGTTTCTGGTTATTTTATGCTGTTACTGTGAAGTTGATGGTAACGAGAACTGAAATCCAGGATGCACATTTCGTGCTTTTGAGGACTCGTCAGTTGGATACATTTGGATCTTCAGTGAATAATGGTGTTTTTATTGAAGCTTGTAAGCAGCATTCATCGTTTTAGACGTAAAAGCATCATCTGTTAGGTCACTAAACTATGGGAGGCACCTCTTGAAACTCTAAGGTTACTGTTCGCTTATATTACGTATTTTCAGATCACTTACTTCCTAATAATATGGTTAAATGAACTAACACAAAGTGATAGGTTTAGTAACTGTAATCGGTTTAGAGATAAGAACACCAGAGTGTTGTGATGGCAAGGAAAATAAATCACTTATTATTAGGTGTATTTATTACTGAAGAGTCATGGAGCATAAGCACTCTAAAATTCCACTAGTGAGTTGATGCACTCCACAGAATACTGGCCTACCCCATATTCAGATTCTATATTATTTTGTTTGTGACATATGTATTACATTACTGGTTGATATGAGTACCTATCAAAGCACGAACACTGAATGAACAGGAAGACAGACATTCATTTCTTTCATCCAATTCATTCGGACACTTTTTTACAAACAATACAGACTCCTCAGTTTATTTTACTGCTTTATATATAGTTTTATTATTATTTTTTTATTCCTTCATGTTCCCAATGGAACATAGGTGGCTTCAAGCTAGAGGCTTGGAGTTTCTGTAGAAGTGTTTAATTTTTACAGGATGAGGTTGCTAGCCTCATGCCTAACCTTTCCTGTTTACCAGCTTTATTACTGGCTTAGTGAGGTAAAGGAGTTCGTCGGCCAGGGATCGAGCCTCGGACCATATACATGGTTGGTGAGCATCCTGACCTCTGTGCCACCGACACACACGTTATATAGGTCGCTTGTTTAGAATTTTGAGCTAAGGTAGTGATCAACAGTTTACCTAATGATGCAACATCTCTCCATTTGAAGCAAGTGATAATCCCATACAATAATTTTTCTTTCATATCCTTCAACAACCGTACAAATGTGGAAGCTTATTTTTTTTCAAAAATGTGAGCGACTACTTTCTGTGATACAAGGATATAATTGAATAATTAAAACAATAAGAAACGCTCAAAAGATTATGCATAATGTTACTCGACAGTTTAGGTATCCTTGTGATTTAAAGAGCCTAACGTATAATCAAATAGATACATCGGTTACTTTCAGAAATACCAAATAGTAAAGAAATTAAACATTGTTTTACTAATATAAGGATAAAACTTGGGCATTGTGGTAGGGTATAATCCCATTATGAATAAGATTTTATTTTGATGAAGTCATACGGTGTTTTTGTTATACACTGATATTTACTGATGATGACATTTCGAGCACAATTTATTGCCGCTCATAATCATATCAAAGTACTCAAACAACTTTCTTGCTTCGTTTATTCTCATGAATAAAAAAACTTATTATGACTATTAAAACACTCGTCGTATCTTCCATCTGATTATAGTAGATCAATAACACTCGTATTAATGCCATCAGTCAAACCAGAAGAAGATAATAAGTAATCTTAAAATTATATTTCAATTCAAACACATTCTAATAAGCAGCTTATTATGACTGTAAAAACACTCGTCCAATTTTCCCATCTAATTGCAATTGATCAACAACACTCGTACGATTATTTCTGAATGTACATTATCTCACATTGATTTTTATTCCAATATCTAATCCATTCCACACGTGTATATAAATGAGAGATCAAAGTTGTGTGAGTAACTTGATATGATTATGAGCAATAGTTTGTGCTCGAAACGTCATCAGTTCATATAACTGTAAACACTGTGTGATTTATCAAAATAAAATCTTGTCTATAATGGAATTATACTCTACCACAGTGCCCAAGTTTTATGCTTATATCAATAAAAAATTGTTAAGACGTATGTACAAAAACAGTAAATGACATGCGTGAAACAGAAGGGAAGACAAAGTACATTCGATAACAATATTAGTATTGTCGACAAATATAATACGATGGGAATTAAGACGAGTGTTTTTAGTCAATAAGATGGGAAATAAGACGTTTGTTTAGTGAAATAAATAACTTGTTAGAATGTTATAATGTGGAATGCAATACATTTTAAAATTATTTATTATCCTTTGATTTGAATGGTAATAATATCTTCCATATCTCTGGTATTTGCATTTAGTCACTTCTATTGCATATTTTGGATGTTTTCCTGAGTAGAAATTGTTATCAAATGATTTCAACCCAATATTTGTATGCGAAATGACCCAATGATTCATCTGACTTTGTAAGAACACATTTTATTCAATTAAATAATCAAAGTTACCTGTCTCTCAGCTATGTGATTTAGGCCTACCTTAGCGCCATGGTCTTATTCCAAAGTATTCCTCCAATAGGTCACTTTCAATCCTCTTCTTAACCAGTTATAACTGATGAGGTTTCTTGTCTAATTTTTTGTAATATTTTTCATCATTTCATTGATTTCTGTCGTGCCAAACTTTTATTTTCATACTTAATTATGTTCATTAAGATACGCTTTGCATACCACAGTATTTAGGCAGATGGGCAGACACTTCTAAATGTATATTACAAAATGATTTATTCTTTGGTTACAGGATTTCATCATGAGCTGACACTGATTAGAGAACCATTGGAAAACCTGGGAGTACAAAACAGCTGTTTTGTACTCCCAGGTTTTCCAATGGTTCTCTAATCAGTGTCAGCTCATGATGAAATCCTGTAAACAATCAATCAAATCCCTACAAACCAATACTTGAATATTTATTCTTTGATTGGACACTAATAACTAGTATGATGTGTCTAGTCCTTTGTGTTGGTGCAAACTGAATTCTATCAGTCATGTTCACAGTGTGGTCATCATTCTAGGTGGTTCACCATCGTGGTGCACTTCAGGTTGTTGATATTAGACGTGACTGGTAGAATTCAGTCTGCACCAACACAAAGGACTAAACACATCAAGCTAGTTAGTAGTGTCCAATCAAAGTTCCCAGTACAGCCTTACAAGAGGTCAATCGGGAGCCCAAAAAGCTCAGTGGTAACACCTCTGACTGCATCACCACATGACACTGGTTCGAATTTCAGAAGCGATATGAATTCCTTCAATGTGGTTACAGATACGCCTTGCTGACTGGTTAGTGCCAACTAGCACGAAATCTGGGTCGAAGGCTTACTGCCGATTGCCTTCAGCCATCTTCTTGATTAATACTTAGTATTACTCATTCGAAGTGATAGAAGAACCAAATATACAGTATAAAGTGTACACATTTTATTTTGAAGCTTTTCATCAACTGTAGATGCAATAGTCGAAGCTTTGCATCCTTGCCAGTCACGTAGGTGTTATTCGCATATCGTGCATAAATGCTAGTTTCTTCAATTACTGATCTTTAAAGTTTTAACAACATGCACTAAAATATTGGCTTCACAACGGAAGATGAATGAAAATGTAAGTTTCCCTTCATGTATTTATCTATGATTAGACGCGATAATAGTGTATAACCCTGAAAGGAATATACAGCGAGGATACCTAGACGGAACAATACTTAAATTATGCTAGTTTCTGTCCAATAAAATGTAACAAAGGTGTGTCATATCACTGTTTGGAAGGGTGTGGAAAATCTACCCTGAATATAGATCATGTGTAGAGTTAGACTTCATGAATAGCAATTATCTTAAACCTGGTATCCAAGAGAAATTTATAAGACGATGCGGAAGAAAAGGACATCATTATAGTCGAGAAGAAGCCTGCGTTTATCTAGTTGACTTTCAAAGAAGGTGATATATAACACCGAATAAACAAGAGACCAATAGTTAATCTTGCCACAGCTTATGTGGCAGCTAGACTTGTTCGTGTTTACAGCACTAACCGCGCCCTTAATCGATCATAATTGGAAAGGTACCCATCATTAGTCATTACCAGTTATGTCTACAGGTTTACGTGTACGATGCAGGGCAAGTAAATGGGTGAATAGATGAAAAAATGGGTATTCATTAGCTTTTCCAGATGTAAATCAAAAATCCTGAAACTGAAAAATATCCGCTCTCTTATCTCAGCTACTGACAGACACTCCTAATGATTATGCCATCATATTTTACTCATTGTTATTTTCTCAAACTATGATCTTCATGCCTAATTTCTACTCATTGGGACAAAAAACAAAGGGCTTTATTTCATTAATTTTGTGTATATTTTAGGCTGTCTACAGCTAAAGAGAAGCCTCGAGATAAAATGTGCATATTCTATACTGTGAGTCTTGTTCTTTTTTTGGCTTTGAAGATGATCAAGGGATCATCTTGTATGAATGACAGGACAGCTTAAAACAGAATTAAATTTGTTGATTTTGCATAATTAACTGTACACCGAAATACAGAAGCCCTCTTTTCCAGATTTTTTAATATGCTGATCCTTAAACTATTACTAGACTACTCAGTAAAAATAGGCAGTACCGATTTCAAGTAACTATTTTTCTTGGATTCTTTATCAGCTCTCAGTAAAAACAGTGACACTAGTTTAATTCATAATTATGAATATACTTACCCCACCAACAATTTCATTTAAATTTTTTCTACTAATAATTGCTAAGTTACGAATCTTATGACCTTAAACTTAATAAGTGAAACACTGATATTTAATGATATATATTGAACATTGAAAACGATTAATGACTAATTATAACAGTAGTTTAAACTAGAATGCTGAAATCTCATCGAATACTGTTTTCAGGAAGCTTTAAATGACAAATCGGTGCTAAGTTTAATGTGCCAAGGTATTTTTGAGAATTTTTATTTGATTGTCAGCAGTTGAAGAAAACCTGAACTTCGTCTAGTTTATTAGCCAGTAGTAAGCTTGAGGTTACAGATCCCACAGGGTAAAGAAGACAATACCATTGCTTCTTAAGGCTTGAAGCCATTTATTTCCTTTGAAATACAAGGAATAAATAAAGGGAAATATTTGAGTGACATCTGTATACTTCTGGAAGTTTCTCAGTATATTTATAAGTCTGTTTTTGCTACAACTGTAGACTATGTATGGTTATCTAGTTGAAATTAGAGGAATTTTTTACTATAGTTTTTAATGGGGATTCCTTCACAAGCTGACACCAGACAGAGAACCATTGAAAAAAAGCGAACACTGAGCATCTGTTTCAATCTTTCTGGAGAGTATTCACATTCATAATTTTTTTCCAGGGAAGAAATCTAGGGCAGCTCTTACCATTTAGTCATCCCATTGAAAAATGTAAATTCTGACTTCTGTCATGGTTGCTCACTGCTGAAAAGTTCCAAGTTAGTACTTCGTGGTTTTGGATGACTTGAAATGATGTTATTTCGTGACAACATCTACAGTAAAATCAGTAAAATCCTTAAAAACCCCAAGTATGAACTGTACACAACTTCTTACGCATCGAAATGTAAGAGATAAAGTTCCACTGCTAGCGAAATCTGTACATCAAATTGCTTGTTTCTATGATATTAAGTACATGGCACCTTTCGATACGACATTTCTCAGTCATGCCCAGGAACATCTTCCAGTGTTATGTTTGTAAAAAAAAGGAAAACAGAAAACCATTAGTAGAAAAATTCTTAAGCATCTCGACCTTTTGCGTTATTATTCAGCTTTAGGAGATGTGTGAGATAAGATGGATTTTTTCCTACATTTTTGTATAACTAAAGCGCCTCATTTGATCTCTTTTATTTGTGCTGCCTAAATTGTTTGTAATGCTTTTTATAATAGTTTCATGTGTAATCCATATTCACTGTTTTTGTTAAATTCTTAGCTCTTCTGTCAACTTTACGTATTCAAATGAGCTATTTCTTATAAATAATGTCCTTGTTTCCGAGAGTTTATGCTTTTTTTGCGCCATGTAGTTATTGTGATAAACATAACAAAAAGGACCGCACAGATTACTTTTGTACAGTATATTATGACAGTATATTGTGTGTCGCCAAATGTTTTGCCAACATATTCTCTGTTTCCTATTCAACCTAAGTACGAGCACTGGTGAATAGTTACGAAAGAAAAACCGTAACAAAGAAAACTTTCTTTTCTGTATTTTCTCTTTTATGTCTCAATCGGCATTATTAATCTAAATAAAGATATATTAATAATAATAATAATAATAATAATAATAATTGCTTTATTCCAAAAACAGTACTCATGATACAGCAAGGAATTTTCAGCATTCAGTACAATATTGCATCTAATTTACTCAAAAACGACAAAAAAAAATTAAAAATACACAATACATAATAGTAATAAAACGATTGATGTAGCAGCTACGTAACAAAATACTGTGTGCCATACGGAGAAAAATATGTATAAAATACAAAATTGTAGTAATAATAGTAATACCAACTAATATATTGTCATTTACTACACTTGTTCATCCAATGACTCTCTAAGATTACAAATACAGGATTTTATTAATCAGTTCCTAACTGGGTATCACTCATTAACTGAAATGCAGAAGGTCATAGAATATTTGAGATCAGATTCGATTTGGTACATTTTATATGAATTTCCACCTAATACATATGAGTTACCTAACGAAGATAGCTGCATAAATCCGAATTTATTATCACTAGAAGGAAGTTTGGTTAATCCACATATTGGTGAAGGTATTTTACTATTTTTGAATTTGCATTTGGTCTCGAGATTTCTTTATCATTCTATCTATTTAGCAATGTGTGTCGAAACATTTAGTGCAAAATTTTAAGCTACTTGTAAGTAGTATAAATAAAATAGTAATTTATCATTTAGCAATGCAGTAATTCGTGCTCATATTATCTTAAATGCACAGAACAACTCATTAAAGATTAAATACCTTTAAATCATTATTAATAGATGCATGCCTTGTTTAGCTAAGGAGGGCATCGTCGAAGACTTTTAAGCCTTCTCATGTGACACAGTTTGGGAGTTGAAACTTGAGGACAATTGCTTACTGATGGCATTGGATGGCAACGGTGCAAATATCACGAATTAGCAGAATTAAGCATACATAAACCCCCAGAGTCTGTTCCATTGGCTTGATGGTCAACGGGCTGGCTTTGTAACCTGAAGGACCTGGGTTCGATCTTCGGCGGCGAATCCCAAAGTAGGATGTAATAGCTACCCAGGACTTCCTGGTTTTCGATGGTTCACTCCGTGATATAACAAGAGATATATTAAATAGGTTTAACGCAGTTACATATAAAACACAAAACTTGGAAGATTATTATTCCATTTGAATAGGTTTTTTTCTGATCACATAATGATGGAAATATTTTATAATCACAGAAATATTAAACCAAGCTCAATGTGTATTTTATCAGAGTTGTGTTAGTTCTTGCCTTTCAACAGTTTTAAAACAACTAACATTTGCTATAATTTACCTAAACTTTCGTGTACTTAACTTGTCAACTAATCAAACCATGTCACAAATCCAACAGATAAAACTTCCTCTTAACTTCAGTCTAAACAATATGAGGCTAGTTACTTTGTTATGACTAACTCAGTGAATAACAAAACCTTAGTAGTAACCTGCGCACAGTTGTTATTATTATTATTAGTTCTTAAATACTGAAATAATGAAATCATATCTATTTGTCTAATTTCCTAATCCTATAAATCTGATTGTCAGTAAATATGGAGTCATTTAATACAAGGCGCCAAAATTGTCAAAAAAGTGAATCTGTTACAACACAGCATATTTCATTTGTTTTTCTACGCAGGAAAAACATTAGTCAGATGTAATTTCATACAATTATTTCTCTTTGATAGACTTGAACAATGCAAGAAGAACACATTGAGTAGGATAAAATGACGTCATTATTGATTTTATTGGTTTTTGTCAGTTATATACACCCATAAACAATTTAAATATCACTACACAAAATATTCAAATATATAAGTTGTTTCTCATAAAGATAAAGGATATTAATATCACTTGAGTACATATCATTATAGGAAGTAATAAAAGTCGTTATTAAGATTGTTAATATGTATAGAAATGATTAAAGAATAGTCTAAAATTATGAATGGAGGTATAGAATCAACCAAACATGCGTAATAGCTAAACAATCTGGTTGGAAAGAGGGGTCAAGTTATAATGGGGTCCGATCAAGAATAAAGATAAAGACCAAATTAACGGTATGAAAATACATTGTCGGAACAAAATACAATTAAAATAATAAAATGAAAGTATAAAACACGGTTCAGCGAAAAAAATTTTCTTCACCGACGAAATTATCTTCAAAGGCTGTACAGCCGTATTTATATTTGCCAAAAATGTATTGCAGTCCATTATTGAGTAATAGGATAGGTGTGACATAACTGATGTAATTACTCAGAAATGACGCGCTAAGTAAAACTAAAAGTTGTAAATTGCGTAAATGCTCAACAATACAAAGGAACAAATGGTTAGAAATTCGATAAGGTTAAAAATTTTATTTATCATTTGTGAAGGCGAGTAGTTGAGTGTCAGTTTAACAAGTGCAAAGAGGGTGTGAAAATATATAAAAAAGAAACATGTGAGAGTAATAATAGTGGATTCATTATTAAAGTAAAAGCAAACTTGGAAGAAAAAATTAAAAGTTTACCGGAAACAACTAATGAAAAGATAAAGATCATGGTAGAATAATAGACTGGACAAACGTTTTCTGTATACAGAGTTGGGGGTTGTATTGATGAATTGCCAGCACTTCCGCCAAACACAAATGACGAAACTTGACGATTTTTGAATCATTTCGCCTCACCTCGTAGGTGACCTTGAAAGGCGACTCTGGTGGAGCTGCGTGACTTGAGTTCACCGAGTGCTTGAGAATTGAGCTAGTAGCTTTCTTGAGTTGTCCTTTTGCTAACCATGGGGGATTATGTTCACAGATGCGTTTGGAAAGTCTGTGCTTTGTACGGCGAATATAACTAGCTGCGCAGGAGCAGGTGAATTTATAAACACACATTCAGTTGGCCTGTACAAAGTGTTAATGTATCCTTCATACATCCACTGTTCATTTGTCGGCTGTAGAAATTGATCTGTACCTCAGCTGAAAACAAGGTTTTTCTCAGTGATCTGAATAAGTGGCAGCTCTTCAGGATGTCAGCAGCGGTATCACCTTTAAATTTGGCGTCCATAAATAGTTATATATTTACCACAGTAAGGCAAGATTAACAACGATTTCCATATGGATGGATAAATTCAATTTTAATCGTTTATTGGCGACTGCTTAAATGAACTGTCTTGAAATTTAATTATCTCGAAGGATTTTAACACATCGATTTCATAACCTCTATCAAACAAGTGTCAAATAGTCTCTCTACTAAGGAATTTGACACCATTCAGACTGGGATAGGCTATCATACATTTCTTTTCTGTTCGTCCAATGAATGCTCTCTTGCACCTACAAACAAACTGGGATATGCAAATGAAGGTAACATGAAAGGACTTGTCAACTTTATATTCTCTCAGTAAGTCTTCAATTCACTAAGGTATGACTAGTTGAGCAGTTGGATAAGTTTGTTTGAGAGCAGAAATTATTTTATATTTCATTCTTCTAGAAATTTCGTCACCTATAAATTGAAGATAAAGGAGGAGACGTTTGTTCTGAAGTATATGAAACGTAGCTAGTATATTTGGTATTCTTTTATTTTCAAACATTGGTTTTGTAGGGATTTCGTTTGATTGTTTGAATGATTTCATCATGAGGTGACGTTGGTTAGGGAACCATTGGAGTACTGAACAGATGTTTCGTCCCAGTTTAGGACTCTTTACAGTATGCACCCACCGCCAGGGTTCGAACCGAGGACCTCCTGGTTACAACGCAAGCTCGTAGACCATGGGCCACTGGGACCCGATGTTTATCAACGAATTTTTCAAAATATCTATTGTCTCGTGAACACTCTTGTATGATGGAGAGTTCATCAGTAAGTTTTTCTTTCTAACAAAGTTTTAAGTGTGGTAGAAAAGTGTCCTTAACAGATCTTTCTTGTAGCTTACTAGACAAAGACTACTGAAAACCAAAGACAGTCCATTTCAAAATTCTTTATGATCAAAAAAATATCTTTGTATGCTTCCATCTGTAGTTCGTAACCATACGATATGCAGAAAGTGAGACTTTCAATTTTTTAACGTTCCATCTTAAGTAAATGGAAGACATGTTTAATAACAGTACATAGCATACACCTGTTATCAACACATCTCATCTATCCTATGTTTCAAACCTGTCATTTCAAGATACTCAACTGACACGTAGTCATAGTAACCTGAGTTCCGTGTAAGGACATGGACTCTAACTGTTGAAAAGTACTTTTCATCAACACTTTTATTCTTTAAGCCACTGAAATCAGATGACGTGTAAGAAAGGTTTATCTCAGACGAATAAATTCAGACGTTTCACGAATATTCACTAGATTGTTTAACATTCTACAAACAAGACTGACTATGTAAACTAAAACAAATTTTGTTTGTTACCATTCAAATAAAAAATAAACATTGAAATTCACTTTTTCAATAAAAAAAAAACACTCAGGATTTCATCATGAACTGAAATCGGTTAGAGGACCATGATGAAATCTTGAAACTAATCAAGTTAGATCCCTGAACACCAACACTTGAATACCAATCTGATGCTCACTAGTGACTGGCCATATTCAGTTAGGTAGCTACCTAGGTTCTGGTGGGAAGTCGCGATGACCATTTGGGTACAGCAGGTCGGGTGTGAGGACGAATACTCGCCAGCGATGACATTGGCTAGTGGTGGCACTGTATTGTGAAATGACAGAAGTTGGAATTCATGGGTTGGCCATTTAATTGGGTCCCAGTGGCTTAGTGGTCTACTAACTCTCCTTGTAACCAGAAGGCCCTCAGTGTGAACACTCTGTGGTGAGTGCGTACTGTGAAGAGTCCAAAAAGTTAGGACGAAGCGGTTAGCTCTCCAGTACTCCGGTGTTGGTTTTCCAATGGTTCTCAAAACCGATATCACTTGATGATGAAATTCTGCAAGCAATCAATCAAATCCCTTCAAACTAACATTTGAAAAAAGCAGTCATCAAACACATGCATGACTACTGAATTATTAATATGTATAAGTAGTATCAGTCAGTTTAAACAACTTTTTGAAGGAAGAATATATAAATGAGTAAAAATTAAATAATATAATCGTACAAAACTTAGATTTCTTGACATAATACTTTTATAATTTATATCGCTATTGTTATATTATGGTTACTGATACTGTTACAGTTTCTTTTATGAAAAAATTACACACACACACACACAGGTATTAGCACACACGCAGACTATTCACACCAGTAGCAGTAATAACACTCTCTCATCTATTGTACAATCACTTAACATTTAAAAACAAAACACCACATGTCCAAATATCAATTGTCATAGCTTAGCAAATAAAGATTTTTTAATCCTAAATGATGTATATAATAATAATAGTAATCTTTTATTTATAAATTGTCATAATCATTTTGATGAATGCGTGTGTTCCAGTGAAGAATAAAAGAAAAGAAAGTGATTATTAAACTTTTAGAAAAGAAGTGAAACTCATATAATTGTGTAGCTAAAGAACACCTGCTTACATGTTGACAGATTTCATTTGACCGGATTCAATGGTGATTTTGATAGCCTTGGAAACTGATGCATTAAAACAACGGCCATAATAGTAATAATAATCATAACAATAATAATAGAAATAATAGTGATAATGGCTGCGTGAATATTTTTAAGTATTGCTACATTATAATTGTAAAATAAATAATGATACATTGTACTTGGTGAAATGAAAAATGAGTGTCACGATGTTCTACTTTCGCTTTTCTACTCTCATCATCAGGATAAAGATACACCTCGGAGTACCATAATATTTATTGGTTGATTTGTCTTGTTTAGGGACTTTCAACGACAACCAAAATAAATCTGAAAACCTCACTGACATTAAATTTTCAAAATGCTTCATGGAAAACCATAGATTTCCTCCTATGATGCATCTTTCATAAGAATTTCAAGTTATTTTCATACCGATAATCAAGTCCTCTTGTTTCCTGTAAACCGAGAATAAGTCTAGAAAACCAATGAATTAATGTAAAACAGAGAAGTGCTATATTTTACATGTTTCCTCTGACATTTTATATGGTTAACTTCGACAGTATTCTACTTCCTGACTGCCAATAAACTGCAAATACCTACTACTGATTTCTGCTGGAGTAGTAATACTTCCTAAATGTTTCAGTATACAGTGACTGCTGTAGCGAACCACCTGAAATCCATATTTTATTTTGATTACAGCTTGATTCCACACTGTATTTTTGGTACAGGTATGGAATTTTCAGCATGGATATCGGTAGCCCAAATTTTGCAGGCCGACGATAGATATCAGGTGTGCGTCGGCAGGGGATCGAACCTTGGACCATGTGCATGGTCGGCGAGAGTCCTAACCACTGTGCCACTGACGATGCCGGAGACATAATTATCAGTAAGCTGACTGATGTTTTATTCAAGCAGTTTTGCAGTTCTGGAAATAACGATATTGACTATTTGTCACACAATGTTCAAATAATGCACAGTTGTAATCAAATTTTGGGTAGTGATCATATCCGCGATTGGAATGTGGACACTGTTTCTACCTCTGCAAAGCGATTTTACTGACATTTTTCCATTACATTTGTCTTACTAATATAGGTGTTTTAAAAAAGCCTCCAGTAAACATTGCCTATCATAAATATGGTTACGCCATATTTTATGATTTAACATACCAATAATGTCTGTAAACTGGCGTCTCTTGTGTGTATATCGATGGGAATATATTATTATCAGTATATCTTGAACTCCTTATTATAAGGTTATTTGAAGAATGAGGATATCTTTATAAAATTGTTTTTAGTTAACTAATCTCTCAGCAGATACTTATCGCTGATATATATTCAGTATTTGAAAACGACTAGAAACCATCCATCCACTGTTTGAAGTGATGAAATGTTATTCACGGCTAAATGTTGTGAGTTGACTGTTAGATTCCTGGGCTCCGACATTTACTCGGCGAGGATAAGAAAAAAAGTGACAATCACTAGCTGTATGCAAAATCTTGTCAATTTTATATTGAGGTTACCATTTTAAGATAATGTCGGAACCTAAGCTAAATCAGAAAATGTGATTTACATCTGCGTTCTTCTGTTGATCAACAGCATTGGTATGTAACTGAAAACCCGGTAACTAAAAGATATTTCAACGAAGAAAATTCTCTTCATTGACGAAATCATCTTCACAGGTTGTACATTAGTGCTTATATTTATCAAAAATATTTAGTAGCCCATTAATGAGTAATAAGGGTGTGTGTGTGATACAATTGATGTAATTAGTCAGAAGTGACTTCTTAAGCAAAATTAAAAGTTATGAATTACATAATACTCAGTGGCACACAGGAGGTGAGTGTCACTTTAACAAGTGTGAAAAGGGTGTAAAAATGCACAAAAGGAACATGTGAGAGTGATAATAGTGAATTAGTTATTAGAGCAAAAGCAAACTAAAAGTAGAATTAAAAATTTAAAAATTAAATTTTTACAGGGAACGACTAATGGAGAGGTAAAGATCATGGTAGAATAAGAGACTGGACAAACGTTTTCAGTATACAGAGTTGGGGGTTGTATTGACGAATTGCCAATGCCTCCACCATACATAAATGCCGAAACCTGATGTCCTTTGTACCATCTGATCTCACCGTGTAGATAATTTGGAAAGATGACTGTGGGGGAGCTCCGCGGGTTGAGTTCACCAAGTGCTAGTCACTGTCTTGCATTGTCCTTTTGCTAACCAGGCTACATGATGTTCAGAGATGTGTTTGGGTGGCTATAGAAATTGATCTTTATGTAGCTCAGCAGAAAAGAAGGTTTTCCTCAATGATCTGGATAAGTGGTGGTTCTTCAGAACCTCAGCTGCATTATCACCTTCAAATTCAACTTTCATGAATTATCTTGACATACACTTTACTGAGAAACTCTATCGTAATATTAAGCTGCTCATTGATAAGATCGTCTGAACAGATTATCCTGGCTCTATGTACCAAACGCTAATAAGTTTCGTTTTTATATAAAAGGTGAAAAGCTTAGCAAAATCTCCATACTGACATATCGTTCTAGGTGTTCCATATACACTTCTTCTTATTATACCATTCTCTCTTGGTCAGAAAGACGTCTGTCACTGGAATACTATCATTCAATTTCTTTCTCAATCGTGAGATTTATTTCTTGATGCACATAGTTGAACTTGTCGAGGATGTTTGTCGCTCTATTCTCATTTTTCATAATAAAAAGTGTGTCATCCATATTTAGACAGTAGAATTCCAATTCACAGTAATCCACAGAAATCGTTGAAGCGTCTTTACTAAGAGCTGACACATTACCAGAGACTGAACACTTTGGTCCAACATAACACATCAAAGGGGAAATATAAAGTTAACCTGAAAAAGAAATAATGGCCAAGTTATGTTCATTTCATTTTAATTATTGTTAATTTTTTATTTGGCTTCATTTACTAATTCTGTTTCAGTTATTTATTTTTCTGAGTTATTTTAGAAAAAAAATATATATTTATTTTCATTTTAACACCCTTTTCGTTTTACACATATGTCCTCTTATCTATCCACATGCTTATCTATTTCAACTTTCAATCATGCATACATGTTTAAAAGCCTTATGATGTAAAATAGACGTTCTCTATGCCTTGATTACAATACACACATTCTCACATTAGATGTTGAGGAATAATGAATACATTTTGACAGAACATCTGGTTTGGCTTGTTCACTGATTATGCCACAAAGTGATACAGTATTTCTGTGGTCTTTTATCGTGAACTGACGCCATTTCAGGCATAATTTACAACTTATAATCATACTACTAAGATAAAGATTTCATTTTTTATTGTCTCAATATTTTTTAAAAATTACCTTGTCTTATTCTTGTTTCAAAATTTGTTTGAAACAATAAAGTATTCGAGTTGATCATGGATTGATATCAGTTAGAGAACCATTGAAAACCAACACTGGAGTACTGAACAGCTGTCTTATCCTCCTAGTTTGGGAGTCATCGGCAGTACGCACACAATACGTCTCAAACTCAAGACCTTCCAGCTACAAGGCAAACTTGTATACCATTCAGCCACCGGGACCCGATTCAGTGGCCAGTTCATGAATTCTGACCTCTTCCAACTCGTGATTTATC